TTTCTGAGGTGATCTCACTAATTTGTTAAAAATAATAATAGAAATGAGTGGGCATGTGTGGGATGGAATTATATTGATCATGATTAGTGATGAGGCATGTTCAAATAGATATAACATTTGCAGGCATTCATAAGCTTTCTTTATTTTACCCCATCTTGGAACCTCAGAGATGATTTTCAAGTGTTCCCTTCTACTGGTATTTCTTTTCAGAGTGGCTTTTCAGCAAAGTAGGGACAAAGCACAAGCCAGACCCAGACATGTCATAAGCCAGTGTTATTGCATATTATGGACAGACTTGAAAGAGCAGTTTGGGGAAGACTTATGGGAACTGCTGTTATTTCATCAAATTTTTGTTTTCATATAACATTTGGGAATACTTTGAGACAAAAAGAAATCGGATCAGGCAAAAGAATCTGAACTGAAAAGCTGCCCATGACACTTCTGCCAAACCATTTAAGAACAGCGTTGCACAGGGCGGAGAGTAGGGCTGTGCAGACTGACAAATAGAGAGCGAAGGCTCCTCTGCATGTAGGCTCTTTGGGCCATCCTATCTCTTGAAGTTGTTGGTCCTTTATAACATAATTGGTACCTCTGTGTCTGGCAGAGTCTGCCTTGGATGACCTGGACCTGAATGAATTCGGAGTGGCTGCCCTGGAGAAGACATTTGACAGCAGCACAGTGCCCCACACGAGTGGCATCATGATAGGTACATGAAAGCAACAGAGCTTTCTTTATCTTCTGCCAAGCAGTGTTGCCCAGTCACCTCAGTGGAGCCAGCCCAACAAAGCTCTAAAACCAGTCCCAAAATAACGTTGGTTAAAGCAGCGATTATAACAAACTCTGGCAACCGCTGAGCATCTTTGAAGTGAAAGCTTGCCCTTACTGACTAGCAGAGCTGAGTTCTTGCCATTGGGCCCAGGTGTCTTTGGGATGTTTCTTGAGACCAAATGGGACTTGCTTGATTTTTTTTTTTTTTTTAAACTGTGTAAGTAGACTCTAGAAGGCATCTGATACCTTTAAAAACAGGCCAAAGTATAACAATTTGCACCTTAAGCAGAAAACTCTCCCTAGCAGTAACAGGAAACTCATTGACCTGGTAATGCTATCCATCTGTCACAGTGTCGTCATGGTCTGCTGATTTGGTTCCTGTGATGTCTGTCTCATTTTAATGCGTGGAGGTAGGCTAAGGCCTCTTCTACCTGTCTCTAATGAGTGTCCAGGGAAAAACGAAATGTTTCATAGCTTTTTGGAAGTGGTTGTAGTTTCTGGCTACCCTTGCTGTCTAAGGCAGGTTTTGAATGAGAGTGAACTTGGGTAGTCTGAAGGTTTCCAAGGGAACTACACTGCCTGGAGCTGTATTGAGGTAGGAAGGGACTTGTGGAAGGAACCCTAAAGAATATCGCTTCCACTTCCCTGCCAAAGATAAGAGCCTGGTCAGGGAGTTTACTGTGCATGTCTGCTGATAGCCCTGCTTCTGCTGCTACCCATCTGCAGTGGCTTAGAGATCCTCCACACTGCTTTTCCCTCTGTTCATGTCAGGTCTGGGTGTTACTGGGTGATGTTCTTGGAAGGGAGGTCAGGAGACAGTGGGGAGCAGGGCTGAGATCTCCCTCAATCTGTGTGTGGCAGGCAGAATGACCTCTAGTGTAAGGAAAATGTGATGTCTTTGGAGGTTGGGCTTTTGTTTATTTGGGTTTTTTTTATTATTGATAGATCCAGCACTCAAGTATGTCTAAAATGACTAAAGCTAGTCACTGATTTCTAGTGGTTAAGATCATGACCTGACCCAGCATGATAGTCTTCTCACTACAGGTTGTTTGGAAGTATTAAAGGCACATGTTTTAGAAGTGAATTTTTCATTACAAAGTATTTCACCAGATACCAAATTCATCTTCTCTGGACTGATAGGGACTGAACTCTGCTCAGAAAACCTTTTGTTGCTTTGGCCGATGAAAGAGTAGTCCATTGAACTCTGGAGGGTCTTAATCTACGTGGTTCATGGGACGGCAGCTTCGGTGCTCTTCTTAAAGGCTGAGAGGGGAATGAACCACGAGGAGAAGCAGAGGGAATCCCGAGGGGCTTAGGAAGGAGAGGGGGAAGGTAACGCCTTCTGCTCTGAACTCCTACACTGTGCTCTGGCCCATTCTTCATGGTCATACATAGCCATCCTCTCTGTGTGTTCTTTGTCCAGGTGGGAGTTTGCTGCAAAGTTCTGCTCCTGTAAATATCCCCGGGTCCCTTGGAAGCTCTGCCTCCTTTCACTCTGCCTCTCCTTCTCCACCGGTCAGCCTCTCATCGCATTTCCTCCATCAGCCCCAGGGACACTTAAGCCAATCAGAAAATACATTCCTGGGGACATCAGCTTCTCATGGATCATTAGGTAAATGCACAGTGTGTGTGTCCCATGTACATGCCTGTCTGTGCCATGTAAGTATTTTCTTTTAAGTTAGCTTTGATTTTAATGTATTTCACTGCTGCCATTTGTATCTCTTCTTCCCATAAGAACAGCAACAGTACTAGAAGCTGCTTTACCAAAATCGGCTAGTACCTTGTGAACAAGGGAGCAATTCCCTCTACTTCCCATGTTTCTAGGCTGAGAAAAAGAGACAGATAGGTTAAATGACTTGCTCTGATGATGCCTTTCAGGGAAGAGAGCTCTGCCTTTTCCTGCCAACAATGCTGTGCTGAGACTTCACTTTACATAAAACTCAGAGTTGGGTCCTTAGCTTTGCTTAGTTAAGGTGGGGATTGCAGTTTGCCCTTGGGACTGCTTGTAGGTCAGCTTGGCTTCTGGGAGCTCTAGGGCAGACTTGGGTCATTGTACTTTTTTCTCCTATTTGGCACTCTGCACACAGTTTTGCAGTATGGACTTTGCAAAAAGTTAGTTAGTGTTCCAGCTTTGTCCCCTTTGCTCCTCTCTTCCCCCCCCACACACCTTGAGGATTTGTTTCCTGTATAAAGGACTGTGAAGGGATGAGAAATTGCTTTGGAGCTTCAGCTGTATCAGGCAGAACCGGGAACTGAGGGGCCAAATCTTTTAGTCTCAAGACGCAGGGTTACCTTGAGAAATAAAACTGTTTGATGGGCTCAAAGCTACAGGGACACTGGCTCTGCTGATTTCTGTTAGTAACAGTAAATATTAGTTCTCTCTATTGATACCAGACATAAATGCTTCTTCAAATTTGAGAGACACTTTAATCTTTAATATTCAACTTAACGTAATAAAATGATTACATGCTTTTGTAGTCTATTTGTGCATGCACTTACCTGTGTAACTGTGTCCCTTGTTTGCATAGGCCAAAACCATGCTTCCATGCCTTGCGATTGCTATTTGTTTGGCTTTAACAGCTTTTACAATTGCTGTAATAAGAAAAGAGACATCAGAGGGTATCTCTGCTGTTAATTAAGTGCTGAGGCTGGCTGTTCATCCCAATTTCAGTAAGAAAAGGAAAACTTGCTGATAAGGCCTGCTTTTAATTTCAGAAGAAACAAGTTAAGCAGTTATATTTGTATTGACTATGTAGTTATACAAATAAAAAACCCAAAGAAATGCAGGAAATTCACAAATGCATTTACTTGATTTTTAAGAAAAAAAGATATTTTCCTGTAATAAAACAAAACCATTTTTGCTGAGGTTTTGATAAGATATTTAAATAGTAACCTAGCAGTTGGGAATCTGGAATCCATCTATTCCATGTGACTTGCTGAATGCACATAAGTTAGTGTGTAGTGTGTGTAGTTATTACTTATTTGTATTGCAATTGAGTTAAAAATACCTAGTCCTGGGCTAGTTCCAACTGTGCTAGATGCAAAATGTGCAGAGAAGGCACTCCTCACATTTGCTACTTCAAATGTGAAATGAGAACAGCAGGTGGAGAGAGTAAAGAGAAACGACGAGATAAGCTTGGTGAGCATTATGGCAGAATTTGTGGCTTGCCAAGCATCCTGCTTAGTGCTAGATTCCCTTTCAAGAAACCTGGAGCTTTAAAAACAAAATGTGAGTTGAGGTTCCATTAAAACTCCTTGCTCTCAACTGAGCATGCTTCAGAGCAGCTGAAATAGATCTATGGTAAGTGGCTTGAGCCAGTGAAGAGTCCTTGTTGCTCTGCTAAGTGACTTGTTAATGCACCTAAGCCCTTAGTGAAGCAAGTTACTATTTTTCAGCTGTATTTTTTGTAACTGTTTGTGTCTTGGCTGGTACTAAATGGGAAGTAAGGGGTGCTGGATTAGCCTTCAGTGAGAGGCCATTGGCTGCAGGGCTTGCTTGCAGACACAGTTCGGCTGCTGTAAGATCAGAATTATCAAATGCAACTAGATTTAGGAATGTCCACACCCAGTGGTGAGCACCGCTAAATGAAAATTACTCTTATATCAAACTGGTGCACGTCTGTGTGCGTAAGAGTCCACGTCACTCAGTGGCTCTGTGTCGATACGAGCTTTTCCTACTAGTTCTCCCCTGAGTGCAAAGTGTGGATGCTTATTTTAAGTAACAATATTTTTTGTTATTAAGAGAGTACAAACTTTGGAGTCTGTGAAAAATAGCCAGTTTTGTTTACAACTAGTTTTCTACTGTTTTGTTTCCTAAGCCTTGAATTTCTTCCTGAAAAGAGAAATTATTTGAAGAAGCTAAAATAGGGAAGTGGTTGGTTAGTTAGTCTTCTCCAGTGCCAATCACTAGCTTTATGCTAGAACTCTGCAGGGGATGAAGCTGATGTGTATATACTATTGCCTCTGCCTGTTTATAAACAGGGTTTTCCAGTTAGTGCTGTTTCTTGCAAATGCAAACAGTAATGATGTTGATTCATTTTAGTCTCACTGTTTGGGAAGTGAGATTCCTTTTCTAAGCACCAAGCTGAGGAGAGAAAAACCAGAAGTTTTCTTAGGGTATAACGTGAGAGGAAGCACCACCTGGGTTGGCTGTGTGAACCAATCTGTTCACCAATGCTGGTGCACAGAAAAGTGGGAAGGTAGTAAGCAGTTCAGAGGTTCTCATAGGAGAAGGGGGATTCAAGCTGGTAGTCAACTCTGCTGTAAAATAGATCCTTCTGAAAACAGCCTGGTTCAAAAGTTGCCTCCACTCAGTTTCTTGGGTCCTCCCTGTATCATTAAAGATGAGGCCTAATGGTGTGAAACTTCCCCTATAAAGTCCCTCTATGACGGACTCCTGGGTCCTGGGGATGAAAGTAATTCTTAAGATGATCTTCTCTTTCCTATGTACACATTTTTGAATCTGGATTTCACAGGGGTAGGGAGGAAATGGGGAAATTGCCAGCACCTGTGACATAACCCTCTCTATTTCCCTGTGAAACAGGTTTAAATGGGATGAACAGCAGCATATGGGAACACTTTGCTTCGGGGAGTTTTTCGCCCAGTACCTCACCTGCATTTCTGTCAGGTCCAGGTGCTGCGGAGCTGGCACGGCTACGACAAGAACTGGATGAAGCCAACGGCACAATAAAGCAGTGGGAAGAGTCTTGGAAACAAGCCAAACAGGTACTTGGGCAACTCCTGGGAAGAGGGATTAGGGAGTGTAAAGGAGTAGGAGGGTGTCAGCCTTTCAACAGGAGCTTTCCAGACACTGAGGTGATGGGAAGAGCTGTAGGTTTTACAAACAGATTCTCTTAAGCATTCTTATTCTTTCTTCTCCCTTGGAAAGAGGGACTGAATCACTGTGCCTGATGTGTTCAGATGCTGGAAGTGCAAGGCCAGGTGTCATAACACATGCACTGAAGTGCTTGACAGTCTCTTAGTCCTGCCAGTTGACTTAGATCCATGACAATTTGCGGGTATGCAAAGTTCATCCCCTTAATGGTGTGAGCCAAATATGTAGAACTGCAGCCCAATCAGATGGGGTATCTGGAATGAGCAGCGCTTTGAAGCAAAGCTCCAAGGATATTTCAGAATTTGGGAACAGGGCAGATTGGACAGAACACGCTGCTGGTGAGGAGTGTATGGAAATTGATATTTTTGCCTGGGATTCTCTCTTGGAAGCTGACCAAGTTTTCAGACTGCTTCTTTTACCCTCTTTGTTGGAACTTGCAGGCTTGTGATGCTTGGAAAAAGGAGGCAGAAGAAGCAAATGATCGCGCCAACACAGCTAACATGGAATGTGAACTGGCCCGGGAGCAGAGGGAAGCCTTGGAGCTGCAAGTGAAGAAACTGCAGGAGGAGCTGGAGAGGATCCACACAGGCCAGGACCCTCAGTTTCTGCGCTCCTTCTCTGACCTGGAAACGCTCTCGCTCTCTTCGCTTTACACCCTTCAGAAACAGCTGCGGGCAAACCTGGAGAAAGTCGATAAGGTGAGCGCCAGGGATTTGCAGGGCAGGGCCTTGCTCTCTCTGCTCCTACAGATCACAGCTTTTTTCCCTCTTCTTTAATACAGCCAGAAATCAGCAGCCTATCAAAGCAATTCCATGTGGATGTAGCCAAAGTGAGTTTTAGCCAGCTTACAGGAAAATACCTACCTCTTCTTTGTGCCTAAAGTACAGAGTTTAAGTCAATCAAAGCTGCTTTGTTGATCCGAAAGGTCCTAAAAGACATCATGCTGTGCTGCTTTGCTTTGCTTTTGCTTCGGAAGATGAATGGGCAGACAGCTGCAAGTCCTTCCCCTGCTGCCTCCTTGCTGTTCCCCAAACTGCGTAGCACAGGACGAGAGCCCTTTTGCTTTGTGACTTTGATGCTTATGTTTTGCCCTGTCTTCCTCTCTTGCAGGCGGTATTTCAGATGCAGTCAGTGAAATGCCTTAAGTGTCAGGAGGAGAACCGGGTGGTGTTACCGTGCCAACATGCAGTGCTGTGTGAAACGTGTGCCGAGGAGGGCGAGTGCCCCATCTGCCATCCCAACAGGCCCCACTCTCTCCAGTCGTGACCTTCCAAGGACACTTGTTCTAATCATATCGTATAGAACTTTTTAACTTTATACATACGTACATATATATGTATGTGTACATATATATATGTATGTGTATATATATATGTATATATGTGTGTGTATGTGCATGTTTGTGTATGTGTATATATATGCACACACACACACATACACACACAAAACAAAAATTAGTTGCAGAGCACTTTTTAATATTTTACATCCCGTATCTAAACTGCCCCTCACCCGTGCCCCACTAATTCTAACTCTTGAGGAACTTTGAGAGCTGTTTTTAATACAGATCAAAGGGCCATTTGCAAAGAGTCTGTGTTTCTCCTCTTTTCTATTTAGGTGATAACAAATTTTTTGACTATTTCCAGAAGGATTTAGAGTGGGCAAGAGGGGCTTCCATGTGCTTTCCAGAGGAAGAGTTGAGATCACAGGGAGGATCGAGGTGGATTGAAATGACTTGTTCATGTCTTCGGTCTCCTTGCTCTTTCACTGACCCAGCTTGGTTAAAGCCGTCCTCCCTGATGGAAGCTCCGCTGGGTGCCTGCCTGGTGGGCCTCACGTTGCCCATCTCTGAATGTGCAGGAACTTTGTCTGTCATTTAATCAGCAAAGTTCGCTTTTTAAATTTTTTTTACACTCTTTGTATATTTGTATGAAAAGAAGAAAAGAGGGAAAAAAAATGTATTGGACGCAGAGCACGCCAAGCCCCAAAATTCAGTGACTAGTGTTCATTGCTGATACAGCTAACACGTTCCAGGTCTGAGCAGCCTTAGAAGTATTGTCCTTGTGTCAGCTAAAGCCCTTTATGAAAGAAATATGGATGCAGAGGTTAGTTCTCTCCAGGCGCCCCTTTGTCTGGTGGCTGTCTAGAGACTTTTTTTACTGTTTTCAGACCAGATTAATTTTGGTTTAGCCACAGGGACCTGATTCATAGTCACTGCTGAGATGCATGAAACAATTCCAGGTAGTCTGAGGACACTTCTTGAACAGAGTCGATGTTGCCTGTGTCGGCACCTGAAGGATGGTTTATGGACTACTGGGTCCAGAAGCCCTCATGCTAAAGATCATGTATGCCTGTGGTGACAGAGAAAGTCCAGCGTGACAAAGAAATGCCACCAGCTTAGACCTGTCCAGTAGCTGAGCTTTCCTGTTACTTTACCAGTGTGTCCATTGGATTTTTACATCAGGTGGATTGCAGTAACCTGCTGGGATCTCAACCAAAAGGCCGCTTAGTTGAGTAAACATTTTTATTTTGCACAGGGATGCTGCCTGTGCTACCCCTCCCTGACCTGGAAAAGCACTGGAACCTCCAGCAGCCCACTGTTGTAGGAAAACTGAATTTTTACCAGAGCCTCTCAGAAAGCTTCATATTTAATGCAAAGACATAATTAGGTTTGCTTCCATAATTCCACCTTTCCTTTACATGGAAGGGGTTAATATGCATTCCCAGATGATCTCTTAAGTGCAGCTCTGTGTAGTTCTTTTTTATGTTTTTCCCATTAACTTGTTTTTGGGTTTTTTGGTAAAAATGCTTTTTTTTCCATGTGTATTTTATTGTAACTAGCATCAGTTTTTTTAATTTTTTTTTTTATGGAGAGACACTGTTGAGTGACTATTGTGGCTATGTTGTTTGATTATAGCCTTTGAATGTCTGTGCCATGGGGCAGCACATCTGCCTTGGTCTGATCTTAAGGAAAGACCTTTTATTAAAATATGTGAACATTTCTTTTTTAGGAAAAAAAAAAAAAAAAAAAAAAAAAGCGGGGGGAGGAGGAAGAAGCCCAATTAAGATAAAAATTTACTAAAAAGTTTTTGTAACTAACTTAAATCATAGGAAATAAACTCTTGAATCAGGTCTTTAATATTTATAAGAACCAGAGCTGATCAGCCTGTTTTGGCTGTTGGTTTGTAACACTTACTTTTTATTAGCACGGTGGTTTATCTGCTCTCCTGCCTCCCTGTGGGACTGTTCAGGGTGACGCCGTCTTTGGCCAGCCCTCTTTTTTTCAGAACTGTCCCGCACCGGGCTGCGTGACTGCATCTGATTCCCACAGGGGCTCTTCACTTTGTTCCTCCTCTTCAGATGAAACTTGTCCACTGCTGGCAGCTCTAGCTGTCTCAGTGGGACTTCCAGTCACGGTGTGATGCAGGGCTATTGGGTCTAGGGGAAAGAGATACTTGCCCCCAGTTTCCGTGGGGGCTCATCGCTTAGGCAGGGGGGTACAAGGAAAATTCCAGGCCAGAGAAAGCGCGTTTTTCCCTTTTGAGTAAAACAGTTTCTCTGTTTTAAAACTTATACTGAAGGACCAAAGAACTCAAAGCTTCACCCATTTGCAGCCCTTAAATTTTAACTTTCCATTGCCACGCTGCACTCATGGCAGAACAGCCTGAAGGAATTAGCACTAGCCCCTTCCCTTGCCCCCACCCCAATGTATCTCAGCACTCTCTTTGCACAAGCACATAGACTGTTTCTCGCTTTCCTCTGGTTCTTTAAGAAACACTTCCTAAATTTAGGTTTCTATGAATTTGTTTGCTGCTTTAAAAAGAAAAAAAGAAATATCTGAAATGTGAATTATTTTCTTAAGCATCAGATGGAAAAGAGAACTTCATCGTTGCGTATTTTGTGAATATTTTGGGGGGCCACTTATGTGACAATTTCCTAACTGAGTGAGGTGAGAGCAGGGGGAAAGGGCAGCATTTCTGACCCACTCCAGCAGTTGTTACTGCCTGCCTCAGGCAGGAAGGATGAACCATAATCACAGCACTGCGTTTAAGGCTTAAGAGTCTGTGGTCAGCTTCTGTATGGTGTAAAAAGAGTCTTGTTGAAATAAACCTGGTGCTAATATGTACAGCCCCTGTAATGTACTGTCACGCTTCCTTCTGAAGCAGGAACTCCCTTTTTCAGGACACACAGTAACACATCAGAACTAAGGGGGCTTTTTTTGGCCGAGTCACGCTTCAAAATGAAGTTTTGGTCCACAAGGCTTCTTGATGAGCAGCCCAGCTGGCTGGTGGTGGGTGTTTGCAAACCAGCCGTGAACAAGTCTGGGTCCTGCCTCTTCACACAGACTTCTTATTGGATAACGACATTTTCCTCCCCAGATTTTTGGGAGCTTTGGAAGTGTTGACCTCGGTGACTAATTGTGCAGGTCAGACACTTCTGAGCTAAGAGCTGGGGGAAGGGAGTCTTAACTGTGTTGTGAAACCACAGTATCTTAAAGGTCAATAAACTTTTACATTATTATGGAAAAACAATATAGAAGCAGATGGCTTAAGACAACACTATCCTGGGTAGATAGGTATCAAAAAGCCAGGCTAGAGCTGTAGATGATAGCCAGGAGCTGAAGAATTTTGGCATCGCGTTGGGCTAACAGGACCACTTTTAGATCATCTCCGGCCTTAGATGATGTAGCCGCGTGCCAGCTGTGGCACAGGAGGGACCGGGGGAAAGTCTCAGAGCTGGAGCACAACATTTTGCTTAAGCAGATCACCCCCTGAAGGGGGGCGCTGCAGCTGATCCCCTGCCGAAGGGTTTCATACTTTCCGTACATCTCTGAAGCTGAACCTGAGCCACTTGCAAGGCTTGTGCAGCTGAGACGATGAAGAGAAGTCCTTACCCTGTGAGGAAGCCCGTAACGCTGAATGGACTCAGTAATTCATTGCTGTTCCACCAGCCTCCGAACCTCCTCTCTTTCTCCTTTTCCCCCATCTGAGAAGGAAGAATATTACCAGTGTTTTCCTCCACAATTATAATAATCCTTGGAGTGATGGCCAACAGCAAAATAGATGTTACTGATGTAAAACCTAGTATTTTAAAGGTGAAGTATTCCTGCAAACTAGTGACTGCATCGGAGAGATTTCTGGGGCTTCCCCGCTCCGTAGCTTCCAATGTTAAAACAAAATAAATACAGTATACGTTTAAAAAAGAATAATAATAATACACGCTGCAGTATTTCTGGTGGCAATTCTTGACCAGTCTCTTCCCCGCCTTCCCCAGGAGGAAGGGCACTGGGCAGAAGCGCCCCTAGTCCGTGTAGAAGTTGGCAGAATGGTGATCGGTGGTGTGTAAAACGTGTTGTTGATTCCATGTATAGAACTGTGATTTCAGCTGTCGTTCTCTCGTACTCTGTAAATATGTGTTTTGGCTGTCGGAAACCTGGTTTAGACTCTTTTCTTGGCAGAGTGAATTTGCATGTGGGGCTGGAAAGAACTCAATCTGTGTCACAGTTTCCAAGGGCAGGATGGATTTTTTTTTTTAGAGGACAATAAATTTTTATTTTTTTGCTAAGAAAAAAAAATATATAATAAAGCAGCGTGTGTGTGTGTGTGTGCGCGCATGCGTGCCCGGGGTGTATGTGCAGCCCTGCGCCCTGCTCTGGGGCTTGGGGAGGTGTGGAGAAGCCTGTGCAGTGAAGCCCTCAAAATAACAGGTCGAATTCACCTCCGTGGCCAATTTTGCCCTTCTCCCTTTCACACGACCAAGAATAATTTCTTCCTGAGCTCCCTTCTGGATCAAGCCCCTTTTTCGGGGGGGGGGTTTGCCCTTCACCTTTATGATCGAGGTGCAGTGGAAGAGGGGGAGAGTCGATGCGGTGCGGTTAGGTGGGGCAGTCACTCCTTTGGAAATGGCAAACCAGCAGAGCAAAGAGCGTTTTATCACCCAGATTCTTGGTGTGGACAACAATTTCTCTCTAAGCGTCTCCCACAGGAGCCAGGCTGGGCGGAGGTGAGCTCTGCCTGCGCCTGTGTGCCCGTGCAGCTGCGGGGGATATGAACAGTTAAATCATTCCACATACAGCTTCATGCGTTGGCACCCAAAAGAGCAGGCCTTACGTACGGATCCAAGAATCGCCTTTTCTTTTTGGTCTAATTAATGCTTCAAAGATGCACTTGCCCTTAGTCCAATCACAACAATAATCTGAATCACCCAATTTATATTGCAGATTACTAGTAATGCAATAAAATCGGTAGCCCTAAGTGCCTGCCCCCTTCCCTCTTGTGTTGCAGCAATCTGCCTGTGTCGGGGTTCTTCACCAGGATGATGATGATGATGGGGATTTCTTCCTCCTCGGTCTTGCATTTGCTAGGAGCTGGTTTTGTGTGCTTCAAGCCATACTTTTTTAATGCTTAGGCTATTCTCCTCCTGGTCCATGGGATTAGCTACGCTCTGATCGTTTAAGGTTTCTTAGTTCTTCTCCGTAAAGGGTATCATTTCTTTTGGGGTGGGAAAAAACCCACACAACTGTCCGGAGCTGAGCAAAAATTAAGCGAAAACACCTTGGATAATAAAGTGCAAACAACC